AAAAAAATAGTAAAAATGGCAAGTAACAAATGTCTTTTAAGATATATATATATAAATATTGTTTTTTGTGAATTTACGTACTCTGAGTTTGTATAAAACATTGATAAAGATCGTTACAGAGCAATGCATCGGGCAATGCCCTAAAATATTCTTTTAATAAAGTAGCTACATCATGTACGTGATCTTCATTTTTTGATAATGTTTCTTCTAACGTTTTCCCGTGATCGAAATCTTCTCGAAGCTTTAAGAAAATTGTATAATGATAATGAAAATAAAATTTATCAATTAAAGACGACATAATATCCAAATTTGTCTTTGTTTTACTGACACATAAAATATCAAAATATACGTTCAGTAGTTCAAAATTTAAATTATTGTTTTTGTTTGGTTTTGAATTAACCTTTTATGAAATTGAAAGGTAAAATCATTATAAGGGTGTTTTATTTTCATTGGTAACATTTTTAAGATTTTTATATATTAATATTGTAAAATTCAACACATTGAACACAGATAGTGCCAGGCATAGATTGGGCTGGCGGGACACCGGGAGTTTTCCTGGTGGACCGATCCTCCTGTAGAATTGCATTTTTTTTGTTTTAGAATAACAGATACTTATAATTAGGTATACAGATAGATAATTATAAATTTAAACCATATGTAGACTGCATTGTCATTATATTTTATGAATTGTAACTTGTAAACACGGGAACAGTGTTTGATTCATGGCTATAGTCCACAGATAATACTATCTATTAAATCGTGGTTAGACTACAGGTTATTATGCCGTAATATAACATCATGAGGCGGATTTCCCATTAGGCACTGTAGGTAGCTGCCTAGGGCATCAAATTTTGTAATGTTTTACTAAAAAACATCAAACGTTTAAAAACAATTTGGAAAATTAATTACTTTATATTTACGAAATTGTATATTATACGAGTATATAATTTATATTCAATATAAATATAGTATAATAGCTGTATAGAAACTGTATGGGTTTTACGAAATGTATCCAAATATAGATATCGCAATTCGTATTATTGTGTGTACACCTGCAGCAAACTGTTCAACGGAACGTTCATTTTCATGCTTAAAATTGATAAAAACGTGCTTGCGTTCATAAATAAAACAAGAAAGATTAAACAGCGTCGCAATTTTGACAATTGAGCCAATCTTCTTGTTTGATTATGATATGAAGATATTAAAAAATCATTTGCAAATCAAAAAGTAAGACGTAAACTTTTAAAGTTAGTAGGTTAAGTTTAGATGTAGCATAGATTAGTTAAGATGTTAAAGTTGATCATCTGATTTGTATGCCTTTTAATTGTTATTATAAAAATAGTCTTTTATTATAAAAAAATATTGGAAAGTGTTTTACTTAATGTTCCTAACAATGTTTATAATTTTRTTTCATCATTGATGGTTTATAATTTATAAAAATTAGCATTGTAGGTTTTTATTAAAATTCAGTGGACTAACCTTTCAAAGTAAACTAAATAAATAAAGGCGAAAAAAAAGTCTAAAAATTCAAATGGATGTCCACTTCTATTGTCTATAGGTATATTTAATATTTAGAGTAAGTATTTTGGAGGGGTATTGTTACTTGTTCGCCTATTATAGGGGCTGCAAATTTTTGGKGCTTATAGCCGAAAAACTGATAAATCCATCTCTGGATAATACGATAACAAGATTTCGATTCAGATTACATAATCAATTAAGTAGCTAGTAYCTCTGAAACACTAAGCAAAGGATTAATTTATTAGTTATAAATATATTATTTGTAACTAAATTTGAGCGTATATGTTTTTCATAAAAGGCCGACATAGGTACAGATTTCCCGGACCGAATTTATATMCCATTCAGTGCCTGGATAGTGATAATAATYCTTTCTTGCCTTTAAGTTTTAGGTCAATCCATTTCAAAGCTAACAGTCTTAAATGCACAAAATTGAATTTACTCAACATATATTTTGGTACATTAGCGCCAGAAGACGGAGACAACACGTCATGTGGGTACGACGTCCTCTCGAATACATCTCTATTGTTTTCAAAGAATGAGTTTGTAAAAAATTGATGAATACATTAATTATAAAAATTACCTGTCTTAAACGTTTTTTCGAACTACTTATCCGGAATACTCCAACTTTGTGAAGCCCATATGTTTCTAAGTAGTTCAGGCATGATGTGACAAAACTAGGAACTCCATTTTTGTTTGATTTTATGTCACTATCATTATCATCAGATAAAATATCTGAACTAGAACTTGTGAAAGTTTTAATCAACTCACTGACAGGTGTGCTTGATGTAGAGTCACAGGAATGAGATCGCTAGAAAGAAAATATTAAGTTACGTGTAAAATACAATAAAATTTATTGACTAATGTACTAAAATAAAAAAGTGATAAACTTAAGCCATAATTTTTTATTCCAAATCCAGTTTAGTTAAGTTTACAAGTTTACCTCACTAGAATCTTTGGGAACTTCAATATAACTTGAAAAACTGCTTCTCCCACGTGGGGATTTTGGCACATATTGAGCCTCGGTTGGAACCTTTAAGTGAGATCTTGATGATCGCTCTTGTTCTAAGCAATCGTTTAACGATACTCCAAATATTGTGTGTGGATAAAGACTTTCTAAAAATAATATAGAATATTGATTATAAACGTGGGTTTTGAAATAAATGTTTAACCTTAGAATGTTTACATTTATTTTCAACACTCACGAAATACATTTTTCGTTTCAAACGATATCGAGTTCCGAAAATATAAAATATAATTTTTATTTAATAAAGTAAAACATTTTTTTTTTCGCGGTAGAATAAATTTCAATATTGTACACTCTTGAAAAAACTGTAGCAACGCACATATTATTATACCTATTCTATTATTAGTACATTATGAAAATCATGTCTTTTTTTATTTCATGTGCGGTATAATTTACTGCATTCCTCTTTTTATTATTAAATCTAGACAATTGGTGAAAAATTCTAATA